CTAATGACCAGCAGGGGGCGACACTTGTGTGTACATGATAATCGTTTGTTTTCAGGATCTTCTTCTTAGTTTAAGAGAAATCTCGTCTGTCATCATGTCTCATTTTGAAAAGACTGACTCTGTGTGATGCATTTAGAGAAGTCTGTCAAATCTAAATCATGTAAACTGACTCTGGTTCCCTCCCATCACCTCGTCTATCTCAAACATCTTTAATAACACTCGTATATATTTCTAAATCTCAGCGTAATAAACTGACTTCCTTTTAAGTCAGCCTGGAAGGATGAGTGGGTATTGCTCGCCAGCAGAGAAGGATATGAAGACTTAACCTCGTAACCTTCACAGTTCAAAATCATTTCCAGGCCGCGCAGCTCCACAGAGCCTCCGCTTCCCAGTCCAAACAAATACAGCGGCTTCTAAACTTCACGAGTTAAAAATGTCTCCTGTCACAATGTTTCACAATTGTTTTATTCATTTAAAGCTTTGTTTTCAATACAGACGTAATGAATCCACGGCAGCGTCAATAAAAATCACATTTAACAGGATAAAGTCTGAGTGGACAGAGAGATCGGTCATCACTGTGATGTGTTCACAGCTGACATTACACACAGGAGTTATTCTCAATATCAGAGATCTGATCAATCTAAATGTTGAATAAAACCATAAATGACTTATTCTGATTGATTCTCAGAGGACTTTCTCAGGGGTTTAAGGACTTATCACACGTCTAATTGAATTTGTTCATAAAAAGTCATTTTATGGACGTAACCGTGTCCTTTTTTGGCTTTTGTTAAACTTTTTTAACCTTGACTTGTGGACCTGCTGTAACGTGAAGCTCCACACTGTGGGTTACTAAAGTCTGCACCAGCCTGAGGCTCGGGTGCAGTCGGCGTTCATCATGGCGTCTGGTATTGTTGTGTTGCTCGTGTGACACGAAAACACCTCGTTAGCGTTCAGTAACCTTTAAAACATGGAAGCAGTCCGTGATGGACGGTTCTTCCAGTTTTCCCAGCAGAGAATAATCAGCTAGATCATGCTGACTGTTTCCTCTACCTGTTGCTCGTAGGTGGATAATTAGCAGGAAACGGTGAACACGCTCAGATATTTCTGGATGGCTGAGTTTTATAACTCTGCACCGGGTCCTCCGATGACTCCAGCGTTCCCGTCAGATTCCAGTTTTAGCCGGACTCTGCTGCTGGCAGCGGGAAGGCTTCGGCTCTGACTGACAGCCGGCCTCATTAGCGATCGGCGAGCTGTCAGCAGCAGCTGCAGCTCGTCTACTGACAGGTAATCGCACCTGCCGACACTCTGAGCTCGCGCGCTAACGAGGCTTCTCGTTTCGTGTTTGCAGCACAAACCACGGCAGCTCCAGGTGAGAGCTCTCGTTCCACCTCAGGAGCAAATTAAAACTCCTGAGAGCTGCCGAGCTCTCTGAGGACGGTGGATACTGCCCCACCTGCGTATACGCCGCATACCTGCACACTAGGGGTGCAACAATACACAAAATTCACGGTTCGATACTTTGGTGTCACGGTTCGATATTTTTTCGATACAAAAAAAATGTTCATGCTTTTTTAATTTGTCATTTATTAAAATTATAAATATATATTTTAACTCAAAAGTACCGTTTTTAAATTTAATGTTGCTGAAACAACAAAAATAATAAATCTATCTGATGGAGGAATCCCTCATCTTTGGAAAAGAGAGTTTATTACAGAGAAATGGCTCTTTCCAAAATAAAAGCTCTACTATACGCTTCTTCTGGGCTATATTCTCAGCAGCATGTTAAACATATCAGGTCCCCATAAGGAGAATCCTGTGCTAACGGCTGTCTAAATGACTCGGGTAAAGTTTGTAGCATGCTGCTTGTTGTTTTTGTCTGCTTCCACTTGTCTTTGCATTAGGATGATGTCGGAGTAAATGTGCAGTCATATTCGTTGTGTTCCCACTAGTGCTGTCAGCGTTAATCTGAAATTACGTTAACGCCACAACACGGCAAATCTCCGTTAACGAGCTACCGCGGATCGCCCCGTGCGTGGGGCTGGACGGCCAACACGTTAACGAGCTAACAGTGCTAACACACTAGCTCCCACCCATGTAATTGAGCATTGCATGGCACATCCAACATACTGTTTTACTTTAGTCCATGACGCGCTTACCTTCAGGGTCATACGTCACATGAAAACCAAAATAGTTCCAAACACCAGATCTGAATGAGAGTGGGGGAGGTTCAATTCGCCATGTTGCAACGAGCTTAGCTTCTGTCTCGCTAGCTTGTGCAGCCTAGGTGGAGTAGTCGAGCACAGATCCACTGAGCGCTCAACACAGACAGCATCGTCAGAAGGAAAGTTGATAAAATAAATTAAAACTTTTGTATTGTTTGATACATATGCGTACCGAACCGAAAGCACTGTATCGAACGGTTCAATATCGATATGAGTATCGTTGCACCCCTACTGCACACCATCATCAGAGACAGGCAGAGTCTGAGCTTTTATCACACAACACTTTTTTACATCTCTAAAACATTTGATTCACTGCTGCCTAAAATGTAGCAGTCAGCCTACGTCCCTGCCTGTGCGGTGCTGGGTCATGTGATCAGGACACCTGGTCGAGGTGGTCAAGGACTAGAAAAGTTTTGCCTTTACAGATTAGAAAGAGTTTCACTGGTTTTATGATTCTTCCACAGCTTTAAATCCATTGCAGCCGGCAGGATCTGGCCCGATGGTTCCTGACTCGGTCTCTTCGGCTGACCTTGACTCTCCTCTGAAGACAGAGCAGTCTCACGCCTTTTTGGGAATTAGTTCAAAGTTTGGATAGAGGGTGTGTTCGAGCAGAAACTCCTTCCTGTTCTCCGGCCGATCCTTTCAACCGTGCCGATTCCCGGCTCTTTGCGTGCCAGGCCCTTTCCGGCCGGGAGTCTGGGGTGTGTTTTTAGCAGGCACGCTGCCGCTGACTTACACCGCTGGTCACTGTGTTAGGGGAAGGGAAGGATTGGCATTTCCCCTCTGAGCCGTCCTCACACAGCCTGAGACACAAAGCTCTGACAATCAGAATCAGGGTCAGACATCAGCGAGGCCGATGAGGATGATTTAATCGTCTCTGTGACAAATAAACCAAACTGAAAGCACGTAAACATCCAGAGCTCTGCAGGAAGGACGCAGCAGACTGTGCCTGAGAAGGCATCCAACTCAGCATAAACAGGAATCCTTCATTTCTAACGTTCCCTCTCAGAGTAATCTTCACTTTCTCACTTTGTTTATTTAAGGGGGAAATCACCTCATTTGGATATAATTCAAAAAGCAAATAAAACTAAACTGAACTAGATAACAGATTATTTGATACGTGATGTCTCCGCTCTGCCCGAGACTCCAGGGAGTCTAAAGGCCTGAAACACTGAGCAGTTGTGTGATTGGCAGATATCAAATAAAAGCTGATGATTCAGTCAGGGCCAAAATCTGCTTATTCAATCTGGACTATGAATCATTCCTGCTCTGCTTCTTTCATGTTGAGGCCACTGATGGTCAGAGACAAACAGAACATCTGAGATGACCGTCCACTGCACGAGGTTAGTGAGATATTTGAGCCTGTGGGCTGTAGTCACACCGAGTTTTTAAAACTGACTTTAACGTTTCATGCTGCACATGAACAGCTTCAGAGGTCCAAGATGACGACAGACAACGGACCGGAGCCACCATCAGTACGTCATCACTCTGCAACAGAGACGACTGTTCATCTGCAATAATAGGGAGGCGTGGCTGATCACTTACAGGTGAAAGGCATGGAGTGGGAAGCGCTGCACTCGTGTCCCTCAGTTACTCAGAAAAACCTGGCAGATGTGTTGCTTTTATTTCAACCGATTCAGTAAACGATTGTACCTGGTCACCGAGAAGAGGAGCATGCAACAAGCTTGCCTGGTGGGAGGCGACGTGTCTCCTAACGATCAGTCGACTCGTAGTCCTCAGACAGACTGGCCCAGGTTTGTAATAATTAGTGCCTAATTTATAAACACTGACAACAGGGTGCAATCAATCTGAGTCAGTCTGCAACAGGAGACTCGACTCAGCTGGTTTTATTCTGGTTAGAAAACTTCTTCTATCTCATTGTTATTTAGCCATTAATTGCCTGATTATACCAGCTTCACCATTCAATCACAGACTGGCTCCGTCTTATCGCAGTTCTGATGCACCAAAGCAGCTTTGAGGAAAGGAACCAAACCTGGTCCCGGCTTCAAGGCAACCATTTCAAAGGCTGTGAAACTGCAAGCTTAGACAGTCACTTTGGTCGTGCCAGTCGCTGTGTCATAGGATAAAGTACTGAACAAAGCAGCAGACACGACGTTAAATCAGGAGCTGGGTTGCAAAGCAGCTTGCAGATGCAGTTAAGCTGTCGGCCAGCTGACGCCGTTTGAATAGCATGCTTTACGTGAGTTTTACCAGCTGTGTGTGTCAGCTGATGTGTTTTCAGGACGGCAGGTCGCAGGTTTTAGGCGCTGTAACGACCTCTGTGGTAAACTGTCGGCCATGTTTGTGAAAGTGACGTGTGATCATTGGAAGGTGCTGATGTGCTGCTGGGGGGTTAAACGTGTCCACGTCTTCTGAGATCGCTTCTATTTTCACCTTCCGTCAGGCTCAGGAGGCGCTGCACCTCCTCCAAAGTGTCCTCAAGAATGAGACCGATGATCCACTCTGCACCCCCTCATCTCTCTTTCCAGTCCCTCCCCCCAGTCCACCCACATTCCCAGGATGCTGCACTCCAGCAGAGATAAAGTTAGCACTGCACAAGTGACAACGTGTTGTAACCGCTACCCGTCATCACCGCCACCACCAGCTCTGGTCCAGATGATGCAACCCTGACTCCCCCGCCCAGCCCTTCCTCACTTTATTAACTGGCTGTGTGTCTTTTTCGATGCTAGGCAACATAAACATGGCTAAATTTAGCCCCGCAGCGTGTCTCAAACCTGCTCTGCAAAGCAGATCCTCGGTGAGTAAATGCAAGAGCAGTGGTGTGGTTTGGCTGACTTTAATAGAACAAATATTTTACACGAACACGTCCACCAACAGAATAAATAGGAGCTAAACAGCTTTAATACAGTGGATACATCTGCATCATAGTGCACTAAACACACAGAGTAGCATGCATGTCAGGAATCGGTCTATTTGTGACCTCAGCACTGCACGTCGCTCAGTTACGTCACCGTGTTGGGTTCAGACTCCACGATAGAGCGATGTCGGCCCCAACGCAGAGACGCGAAGCACTGACGAACGTCATCAGATGGAAGATCTGATGGTTTATGACACACACAATGATCCCACAGTATGGATGAAGTGGGAAACACTCGGACGAGCCAGGCGGAGCTCTTTCTCTGAGGATCTCGTCTCCTCCACAGAAGGAACTCCACCAAGTTTCACCTCCAAGAAGGCGCCACTAATGTAAAACAATTAAGGCGGGGACAGGTGAAGCCTGGAGGCGGATTCTTCCAGGTAGTGCATGCGTTTCATTATTATGAACGTGATATCGCAGGATTGGATGGGAATTGTTAGCACTTAATTTAGCGATAAAGGTCCAACTCGCCGTTACGACCATAACTCAAGAATTCCAATTACAGCAAAATCTGACATAAACGTCTTACAGGATAAATTGGCGAGGAGGTCGTTTTTCTTCACGTTGTTTGTATGGAGAACATCATGGAGTCCGGTTTGAGTTTGGGATAGCGATCTGCTCACGTCATTCATTAATCTCGTTAAGACTCCGCCCTGAGTCGCCTCGTGGGTTTTTAACGGGTTTTCAGATTCAGACGGAAACACAGATAAGTCGTCCTCGGCGGTCTGAGAGCTCTGCCGCGCACGCCACGGCACATGATTACATTTGTGTTGGTCCCTCGGTCCTCGTGTGCAGAGACTTTTATCAGGTTGTGAAACACAGCGAGCAGCGATGATTGTCATGTTTATGTTCGTGACATGTTAATGACCCAATGTGACGCAAAACCATCTAATCCGACGCTCCCTGTAGTCTGAACCCAACATCAGAGGGAAACACAGTCACACCCAGAAACATCAAACCATGATGACATGTCCCGAAGGAATGCTCTGTGTATCCCGGGGAAACGTCAGAGGCCACAAATTAGACCGACGAGAGCTACAAACTCAGAGAAACGTATACGTTAGAGTACCTTTAAATGTCTTTTATAGCTTATTAGCAGCTTTAGTTAGATACTGTGCATCATAAATGAGTTTTAAGAAGTTGTCAACTAAACACTCATATTATCCAAAATCTTATTTTTTTGAAGCCAAACACTTAAAGGTTCATGTCACTAAAACAGCTGCAAGTACTTTCAGAATAAAAGCATCAGCCGTAATCCTAACGTGTCCTGTGTGGAAACTACAAACGTGCTAAGTTATGTCTTTGAGAAAATTGATGTTTTGGCAATAATTAGATCGAATCCATTTACCTGCTCCAACAATAAACCTGAGGGGCTTTGATTTTGTTACCCAGACCTCTGAACACCCACCGGGTCACCTGTCTGGGCTCAGGGCTCCTCTAATGGGCCCCCAGTGCAGGGTGGGTGTTTGGAGGTTCACATGTTTGTACTCCAGAACCTCGACGACAGATAAATCAGAGAAATCAGGCAGATTTGAGGAGCTGGGACCTGAAAATATTCTGAATTTCTGCTTGAAAAATTGGTTTATCAGCATATTTGTAAAATTAATGACGTGTTATTTATCTCTTTGTGTCAGCACTAAAGCAAGCTTTTCCTCATCCAACACCTCCAGCTGATGAAGGCGTCTCCATTAGTAATGTTTTGTCCGAGACGCGTCCTTCGCTCTGCTCGTCGTTCACATCTGCGGCTGTCCTCGCGTCAGCTGCAGGAGGAAACAGCACAGCGAGGTCTCTGCAGTTTGTAAAGCGTCTCAAATCCTGTTAGTTTGTGTTGTTATTCACTTCAGAGGTCTGAGCTCAGACCACGCAGTACCCGTGGCTCGCCATGAGGGCGGTCTGGCTCTCCCGTCGCTTGTCCTTTTTCTTCTTCTGTCGGACCTTCCAGCAGATGGCGCTGGCGCCCAGCAGCCCCAGCCCGACAGACAGCAGCACCAGTCCCAGCACCGTGATGGTGGACCCGTGGGAGTTGAAGGTGTAGGCCACCGCCGTCACCACAATGCCAGCGATGAGGACCACCACGCCGAACGGGATGGTGCAGCGGTAGCAGGACATCTCGGCGCCGCCCGTCGCCGCTGTAAGCTGGACTTCATTGACATGCGGGACGTGCGTTGTCACGACGACTCTACGATCCTTCCTGGGCTTGTCCCGGCTCAGCTTCTCGGCGGAGATGGACGGCGGCACCTTCATGGCGCTCCGGGGGACCCTGCCACCGCCACCTTTGCTGTGGAGGTCATCGGGCATTGTGATCTTGCTGGCGAGGAACAGGTGAGCCATCTTGATGCAGGTGTCAGGGATCAGCCAATCAGAGAACAGCTAGCTGTGAAGTCAGAAATAAGTTTTTGGTTACATCAAAGACATTAAAGCATCGTTTATGTCTGATATTGTTACACTTTGTTTTATTCCACAGCTGGTTTAAAACCATCAGCCAAGAAGATAAACAGCTGCTACACATCAACGCCTCCTTCCCTTCACGGTGACCTGACTTCAGCCTCTGACCATGTGTGCAGCACCAGGTTGGGATCACGCGGCCAAACTAACGACTTTCACAGATTAAATGTTACAACGCGTCAGCGGCTCGTTGAGGCGCTGGCACACTTTGTGGCGACATCTGTCTCTCCGAGCGGAAGCGAGAGCCTCTGCTGTAAACGAAGCCTTAACGTGAGGCAGAGGGAGGGCAGCCTGAGAGTGGCCTGAAAGTGAAAGATCACAGGAAATGATGCGAGGCGTAACGAGGGCCTGGCCCCGCTGTAACCTCATTATTTTCACTCCTAATCAACGACTTTTTCTACTGCAGCTCAGCTCGTTTTCATTAAGACGCGTTGGAGTGACTGTGAGAGATGCTCTGAGCAGAGCGGTGTCATTCAGACCTGCCATAGTCCAGAGAAGCAGACATCTCTACGGCTGCCACACCGAACAGCTCACACCAAATCACTGCAGAAATATGTGGAAATACTGGATCAGAGATAAAAGATCTCTAACTGAATCATTTTTGATTGGAAAGGGCGTGAGAGGACATGACAAAAAAATCATCTTAAAAATGTTCTGATATAGAACAACAACACCGAGTGTGTGAAAGAAGGCCGTCCTCACCAGCACTTAGAGGGTAGGTAGCCACGAGAGCTGCTAATGATGATTAACTGATTGATCCTCGTGGGTGAGAGCGTCTCTACAGAAGTAGACGTTTTGGTGGTTTGCTGGTCTGAATGGTTCAGGTGTGTTAACGCAACCTTTCCAGGAGTCACAGCAGATTCGGCCCTCTGCAGCGGTCCAATCAGAGTGCAGAGCTCAGACCGCTGCGCACGATCGAATGCCGCAAACCTGAAAGAGCTGAAGCTGTGACCGTCTGCTTCTCTGTTTGTGTGCAGTGACCTCACAGCAGCCAGGTTATTGGTCAGGTAATGTCACATGCAGAGGTCAGTTTGGTTTGTATGGAGCAGCTCACAACAACGGTCGCCTGGAGGTGCTCGTTACTGTAAGGTAAAGACACTGCCTGAGACTACATGAGCCTGAAGCTGTCACCTCCCACCTGTCAAACCTTTACACAGGTGCGTTACAGCCGCCTCTCCTCCCCCGTACAGGTGTGATGAAGGGGAAATGAACGTGTGAGTCTGTGGGGACTGACTCACTGCTGGAGCTGCAACACACAGACCGTCTGTGACTGTGTTTGAAAGCTGCTGCGCTGCAGAAATAACATTATTATTGATACAACAGCACACAGTGTCAAATGAAATCTGCTTCAAGAAAAATAAAATCCCAGAAGAAGCAGCTTTAAAAATGCAGACAGTCGTTCCTGCAGCCTGACTTCCACAGAGAGAGGACGAGGCTTTAACGTTCCTCCCTGAAATCAGGACTTTCCCGACATTCCAGCAGCCTGCGTGACTAAACAGTCCCGGCTGTTGCTGTGATTGTGTGGAGACGGGAAAGCTGGGAGCACTTACTGTGTCAGCGAGCAGCCGTCCATCCCTCAGAGCGCCGGTTTGAGTCTGAGCAGGTTGGGGTCTCCTCGGCGTGGAGCCTCCTCTGGCTCGCTGCTCTGCATCGTCCTCACTGCAGGAATAAACGGGGGGAACGTGGCTATCAATAGAAGAAGAGGTCCCCCACCACCGCCGCCACACCCACCCCTCCATACCACCTCCTACCCGAGGAGGAAGCAGAGGTTTAACTCTTTCCTTCCTTCAGCTGCTCTCCTGTCTGTCAGCTCTGCAGCATTGACACCACAGCTACTCCCACATTTGTCTTTAAAACACAGGCTAACATCTGGAATCTGAAAAGGCTGCTGGTTTTCTTTGCTCTGACTTGTTTGACTCTAAAAAGGCGTCACCTTCTTACACCTGTGACTGAAACACACCTGTGCAGAGCCTGGTCACGTTTGTCCAGCTACAGATGAGCCCCAAACGTGTCATGTGAAACGGCACTGCAAGGATCAAACGAGGGTTAAGACGTAGCTTCCAGGTCTGAAGAGGCAGTTGGAAAGTGTGACTAATAAATACAATACTCACCTAAAGTGAAAAATAATGCACGCATGATGAAAAAACCTGATGGTTACCATTACTTACTGGGACTGCAGACTCCTCCAGAGGACCTCCGCCCCGGAGTTAAAGCTCCTCCACATCGGCAGCGAGCGCGGGAGCCTCCGTGCTGCAGCTGCAAACTCGTGTTAACATCTGGGACCAATCAGCTGAACTTTGTTTACCGTCTGAACAGACTCACGTCCACGCTCGTCCGGACATGACCACAGGGCCTGAAAGGCTCAAACTCAGTCACGTATTCAACTTATTAACTAAAGGAATGCGACTTGCTTGCACGCCATATTTCTTCCGTATGTCACATAATCCTAAATGCTAATGTGGGTGAATCATCATCGTGGCGCAAAGCAAAGATAACGACCTAACATGGGTGCAGCGAGGATGTTTCATTCAGTGCTAGTTTCACACTGATTGCATCTTATTTACAAGATGGTATCTTCATATTCAACAACATTTTTAATACAGCAATAATTTATTTTTTCACAGTGCTTAACAAATGGATGAGACTGCCTCCTGCAAGCTTTATGCCACAGCTGCACTAATAATACTTCTACATACTTGATTATTTATTAAAAATGTGAGATTGATGATGATGATTCTGACGTGTGCACCGTTTTACTTCATGTTCAGCTCATTCGCTGCAAGACGAAACCTAAATTATGTTAATAACGTGTTTTAAAGGAAACTGGAATTTTCCTTAAAATAAAGCATAAATTGAAATAAAGTCGAATTCCCACATCATAGCTCTGTGAGGCAGTAAGAAATCATATGTTTGGTTATCCGTGTACAGGTCTGAGAGTTTTTGGCACTGCTTTGCTGTTGTGCGTTTTCAGACACACTGAGGGAGCGACAGACCGCACCTGTGCAGGTTTATTTATTTTCCAAGTTAGTTAGCGGGTTACGTGGTTGGCTGTCAGCAGGTGGTTGTGGTTCTGACCTCATGGAAGTCTGCAGGTCAACATCTGGAACAGCAAGCTCATGAGATGCAGGTGCAGCCCACATTAGGAGAAAGGAAAAGTTCAGATGCACTTGAGTCTGCTGCGTTCTGCTGACTGCAGGATAAAGTTTGTCTCCAACCAGGAGAGGAAGAGAGAACAGCTTTTTTAGGATTGCTGCAGCAGGACGGATGTCTGAGTGTGGACACGTGTGGCCTGTTCGGCTTTCATGTGATGCTACAGTTCAGACAAAAAGCAGCTCCTTATTTTTATTTGCAGGAATGTCAGCTTCTCCTCTGAGACGGCAGCGACTTCAGTCTGTGACCTGCTGAGAGCAGCTGGGAACATCTGGCCTTATTTTCAGCCCTTGAAAGACTTTTGCAAAGGCGTTTGCTGATGAGGGGTCACAGCAGGGCCTCAGCCCCCCGATGAGCCCTTTGAATCGGAACAGGGGGGCCTTGAGACCAAGAGAGGAGAACCCTGCCTGATGTGGGTCATTTCACAGCATCTCAGACTCCCACATGTGCAGTTTGGGTTCAGCATTTGTGCTGACTCACGGGTAAAGACGGGAGTGGAGATGAGGCTTTTGCCTGCCTGTGAAACTTCACCATGACAGATTTTTACAGTAAACTGCTTCGTAAATCTGACACAGGCACTTTCCTGCTTCTAGATCAGTTTTATGACCTGTGGACGAGAAGACGACTTAAAGTCTCAGCTTCAGCTCGTGTGGAAGTGATTTAAGTTCTCGTTTCCTGCTCAGATAAAGCAATCGGGGCGAAATGAAGTGTCTAATGAAGCCTCGGAGGTTGATTGATTTTTCTTCCTGACCTTTGGGACACTCGTCCAGGCACGGCGCCCGAGTGCTAAATCACTTCCTTCCCAGATCCGTTTCTGGGTCAGGGATGATGTGAGCTATTTGCTTTGGATCCGAGTCTCCGGAGACGTCCTCCCGTGCTTCCTCTGTACAACAGATGGCTGCAGGCCGTGCATGTAAAGTGGTGAGTTAGCAGCTATTGGAGCTTACAGCTCCGAGTTCGTGCTTTCCTTCCTGTGAATACAGGTGTGCTTTGTAATCCTACATGCTGATGTTGTTTGGCTCACAACAAAGTGGAAAAGTTGACTTTGCATTTTTGGACCTTCACAGCTCCCAGTTGCTAAAAAAAAACCCTTTTGACTAAAAGTGTGCAGTCACAGCAGCGGCCCCGCGAGGCCGGCCAAACTGCTGAAGCCTGGAAACAGGACGAAGAAAAAACTTGTGGAGTCTGAATTTTCCATGAAGGCATTTTGCACATGCAGGTGTGCAGAAGTAAACCAGAAGCTAACGCTAACCACTGAATGGCCTCAAAGCACTGAGGAGCAGGAACTTAATGGCATCCACAGGTTTTCTGATAATTCACTGGAGAAAACTTCAAAAAGTACTTGTTGGACTCAGTTTAAATGCTCACTGTGTGGTGAGCTCCTTCTTACCTGCGTTTGGTCCAGCCTGATGTCCTGCTGTCACCTGACAGTCACATAACCTCTCAGATAACTTTCTCCATCAGCAGGCTTCCAGAAGATGGCCAATCAGAACAAAGTGTGTTTGGAGGAGGGTAAAGAGACAGGAGCTCAAACAGCCTGTTTCAGTCAATAGGAGATGATGATTCTGATATCTGCAGCTCGTGGTCAGACGGCCTCCAGGCTCTTGTTTGGGCAGAGATCTGGAAGCTTTATCTAAATTAACTTTCCCTTCAGCGCTCATCAGGACAGTAAGATCAGGCTTCAAACTTTCCTTTTTGCTAAAGCATATAGTTAGGGCTGGACCAGGTGACCCTGAATCCTCCCTTAGTGATGCTGCAATAGACATAGGCTGCCGGGGATTCCCATGATGCACTGGGTGTTTCTTCTTCACTCACTGTGTTAACAGACCTCTCTGCATTGGATCATATCTGTTATTAACCTCTGTCTCTCTTCCACAGCATGTCTTTATCCTGTCTTCCTTCTCTCACCCCAACCAATCACAGCAGATGGCCCCGCCCCTCCCTGAGCCTGGTTCTGCCGGAGGTTTCTTCCTGTTAAAAGGGAGTTTTTCCTTCCCACTGTCACCAAAGTGCTGCTCATAGGGGTCATATGATTGTTGGGTTGAATTTAACTGTCAGACTTTACAGCTGCAGAACTCAGAAAAACATGAAACGCCGTCACTGAAGGTCTTTTTATGTCCTCCATCGACCCCGACCTCCTCCTGCTGCCGGCTCAGTTCAGAAACGTGGATTCATTCAAAAAATGTTTCTGTTTTTTAGACATTTGGATTTTGTGGAGAAAACAGACAGTTTGTTCTGTTCAGACAAGCTTTATTACTGTTTGTTTTCTTATTTTTATTTTCATTCATTTCAAATGTTTTTAAACATTCCCTTTAGTTTCAGTCTCCCGAGTGGGATTTCTAGTTTGAGCTTGTGGTAAATGTCAGAGGCAATATAATATATAAACAAAACTTTTAAAAAGCAGCGACTCTTAATAAGCTCATCAGGCAGTTTGTGATAATAAATTAAAAAATACCCAAACTGAGCACATTTCCTCTATGACTTTATTTTGTTTTCCATGTTAACAGAATTGTTACATAATAACCTGTTTGGACACAGAATGGAAACAAGGACAGAAAAAAACTTTCACACTTTCAAACATGACTTTCAGCTCGTTTCCACCAGAGAAGCAAACACGGAGCATCGATGTCGAAGAAGAAAGAGAGAGAGTGGGGAGTTCAGGAAGTGTGAGTGTCAGGACGATTGTTGTTTGGTATTATTAGGATCAGAGGAAGTCGAGGATGTTATTAGAGAGGGAAAGACATGAGCCAAATGGAGCAAGAGTGACAGGATGCGAACAGCTCGAGCAGATCAAATACAAAGAGGCGAGGAGGTCACGAGCACACGATGAGCAGTCGCTGTTCCAAAAAACCTGAAAAAGAAATTTCAAAATGTGAAACTCAAAAAAAGATGAAACTGACTGAGAGCCTCAGACGGTGAGTGGAGGAAGAGCACGTAGAGGCTCAGAGGAGAGAAAGTGTTCCCATAATTCACTGCTTTCATGCAGACTGGGCGTGTCAGCGGCCGGATGACCTCACCTCCTGATGCAGCCCTGGAGACACGACAGGAAGGGCCTCCATCCCCGCGGTCAGCGGGTCACAGAGAACACACCAAACGACGCGTTTTCATGACTCATCGTGAATCTGACCTCCTGCCACCTCAGGAAAGGTGAGGCTCACAGCCACGCCCACCAAAGTAAAACGTCAGGTAACGAGGCCGATCCCAGTAGACTTCCCAGCATGCACTATGACGGAAACTCGACCAAACCCCCAAACCGTCCAATCTGAGCTCCATGCCGACTGAATGTTGAGTGATGTAATGAAGGGCAGGTTGTAAATAACGAACCTGTTTAAGAGGATATCAGGATGCAGTGACGTGTTATTCACTCTTGTTTTGGCCGTTCTGATGGACGAGCAGCAGGTCACGTCCACCCAGAGGCCTCCTGCTCATTCTCAGGTGATCCTGACCTCACCTGTGAGTGAGTAATGCAAACACACACGAGGTACACGGCGAGAGCTGCACGTCTCTAAACCACTGACTGAGAGCGGCCTGCAGCCGTGCTGACATCTAGTGGTGCAATCAGGAACTACAGTGGAGTGCAGTGGCGCTCATGCGTCAGTTTATTCATGTCTGCCTCTAACATCAGTTTGGCTTTGAAATCAAAGCTCCGCTGCATGTTCGCTCCCACCTGTACTCTCTCAGGATTCTGCAGATGGTTTGAAAGATTGCATCGACCTCAGCCCTGGTTTTAGCTCCTGGAGTGTAACACAGGATATTTCATGGACACACACTCATGATGACGTCCACAAAAGTCAAAGGTCAGTTTTTCAGTCAGTTTTCACCACAGGGCAGCATTTTTAATTGAACTGTGACGTGTGGACAAGCTCACCGCACACATTTATGCACCCAGCCGAAATGAAGGACACTCTGATGCCGGTAATCGGGTTGAGGATGAGGCGGTTATGCAACTCTGGCTCATAACTGTAGAAAGAAGAACACAGACTAAAACCTCACAGTTTCCACGACGTAGAAACTAAAACCTTCCACAATCATTTCAGGACACACTCCACAGTTTAGCGATCTCCTACGTAGCATGCAACGAAACACAGGCTGCTGCAGACACACTGGGAGAGAAATATTGGAGAAAAACGACTCCAGGGCTCAGTGGGAGCTGGCCAGTTTAGAAGCGTTTACTATCCAGTCTGACTGAACTGTGCCCGGGATGATTCTGGGAACTTTCCCACTACGGTGTCTGCAAAAAATGGCATTAATTCTAATTTACTGACCATGCTGTCAGTGTTGGGAAGGTTACTTTTAAAATGTATTCCACTACAGATTACAGATTACATGCCCCAAAATGTATTTTGTAACGTATTCCATTGCGTTACTGAATGTGAGTAACGTATTCTGAATACTTTGGATTACTTAATATATTATCAAGCTTTTTACAACTACATGAATGTGATTTATTACTATTACTGCAGGTTACTCTCCACACCAACACCAGCTAGATGTTTAAATCTTAATA